TGGGGTGACGCTGGGGCCACGCTCGCACCTGGGGCGGCGACCGCGGATTGAAGCCGCAGCCTGCGGGAGTCTCCTCGCCTGGACAGTGCCGACCCAAGTCCGGCGGCCCGACCGGCCCATCGCCGCTGGGCCTCCGCGCGCAGCAGGCGGGCATCGCTGGAGGCGCTCTGCGGGGCGGCAGCAGTTCGGGGCCTTTTCCGCGGGACTCCCCAGCCTCCCTGCTCGGGGCGTCGCTCTGCAGGACCCAGTTCCCCGCAGGCCCTCCCTCCAGGGTCTGCGCACACCCTCCGAAGGTGCTGCCCTCCGACCAGGGGGACCAGGGGGCTCCGCTCCGCTCCGCCCCGGGCGTCAGCAGGTGGCTGCTGGCCTGAGCCCTTCAGGGTTGGCACCTTGGGGTTGCCCTCCCCCTACCGCAGGCCTGTGGGCGCCAGTGGGAAGCTTGCCCCTCCTGACCTCCTTGCTCCCCCACGTGGCGTTGGACTGAGTGTGCCGGAGCCAGAAAGGTGGAGCCTGGGCGACGTACCCCATCCCACGCCCAGCCTTTCTCCTTTCTTGCAGCTCAGAACCCTGGTGCTGTGGAGGAGATTCTAGACCGGGAGAACAAACGCATGGCCGACAGCCTGTCCTCCAAGGTCACCAGGCTCAAGTCGGTCAGTGGCGGGCCTCTGGCCTTTGCTTGCTCCCTGGGGTGGGGGTCAGAAGGAGGGGAGAGTCCTGGGAAGTTTCCCCAGCTTCACCCCCCTCCTGAGCAGTGCTGCCTCTGTGGAGCCAGGCAGCGGCTTGCCCCTGGTGCTGCCAGGTGGGGGTGCTAGTGCTACCGAGTGCGCCTCACCCCGAGTCCTCTGTCCCCACCAGCTGGCCCTGGACATCGACAGAGATGTGGAGGACCAGAGCCGGTACCTGGACGGCATGGTAAGGGTCCGCGCTGCCCTTGTGCCTCCTGTCAGTGCCAGGGCCCCGGAGGGGCTGCCCGCACATGACCTCCTGGGTCCCCCCAGGGCTCGGACTTCGAGAGTGTGACGGGCCTGCTCACCGGGAGCGTGAAACGCTTTTCCTCAATGGCACGGTCAGGTCGTGACAACCGGAAGCTTCTCTGTGGTATGGCCGTGGGCCTGATCGTGGCCTTCTTCATCCTCTCCTACCTGGTGTCCAGGGCACGGACGTGAGCCAAGGGACTGAGCTCTGAGGGGCCTGCAGCCACCAGGGTCCTCCCCTGCCCGGTGCGCTGGGGTCCAAGGACTACCACGAAATACTCCTTTGAAACAACGGGCGTGGCTTGGGAGCCTCCTTCCTGCGTGTCTGGGGCCCCTGCTGCCCTGACCCAGTGGTCCCTGTGGCTGGGCCGTGGGTGCAAAGGGGCCCTGGGGGAAGCAGGTCTGCTCCTTCCGCCATGCTGGGTGCAGAGGTGCCTGCAGGGCTGGGGCTGAGCAGAGCCGCTGGGAGCCCTTGACGTGGCCACCGGCGTGGGACCTCCAGCCCTTCTCTGGGTCCTTGTGGCCCTGACGTCTTTGTCTAGGGGAGGCCCCCTCGTGCATCTGAGGTGACTGGTGTGGACACAGGACGTGGGTGTGGCTCTGAGGCTCAGGCAGTGCCGTTTCCGGCGACCCGAAGCCCCCTCGAGACCTGGGTCCTCGGTCCTGCAGCTGCAGCAAGCCTGCGGTAGGGCAAGGGTCGTGCCCCGTGGCCTGTGGCCTTGCCTCATGACCTCGCACCCAGGAGCGGACTCGTGCTTGCCCAGGAAACAGCTGTTACCGCAGGGAGGGCGCACAGGCGGGCCAGAGCAGCAGCGTCAGACTCACCTGTGTTGTCAGCAGGGCAGGGCCCCCGCGTTGGTCTAGAAAGTACGGTCCCCGCCGGGCCCGGCCCCTCCTCCCACAGCGAGCCTCCCTGGGGAGGGTCCTGAGCACATCCCCACGCACCCCTCCCTGGCTCTCGTGCCCACCTGGTCCCCCGCAGCATGGGCCAGGGCACTAGCTTGGGCCTGCCGGTGGCTTCCTCCCCCATCCGCTCCTCTTGCCTGAAACGGCTGAGGAAGTGAGGCTTCAGCTCTGCCCCGCCCCGCCACCTGCCCCCTTTCATGCCCTGCTGCGCTAGTTGCCAGCCTCGGCATCTCGGGGGGCTGCTGGTGTTCCCCATGGCTGCCGGTGCTCCCACGCAGCAGGCTGTCCGTGCTGGAACACACCGAGGCCCCTTCTTTCTTCGCCCCTGCCTGCCCCTGAGGCCTGGAGCCACCCCACTTCCCTTGTAGGTCGAGGCCAGTTGACTGGCACTCCCCAGAAACGGGGCAGCTGCTCTGTCCTCTGCTCCCACCTCCCCCTGCTCCTGGCTGCCCCCTGGTGGTTGGGCCCATCCCGGCGCATGCTCAGCGCCTCTGTGCCAGCAGCACGGAGGGGCCTGCACCCAGCTCTGCCCTGTGGCCTTTGTGCCCGCCCTGGGCACGAGAGACTCGCCGCTGGCCCTGGCCTGCCCGTGCCTCGTGGGGGCTGACCGCAGGTGTCACCCCAGGCCAGGGGCATGAGACTTCAACCTCTGGAATAAACCACCTCACGACGGAAGGAACGCGGCCTGTGGTGTGTGGGTTCCCTGGGGCCGGGAGTGATGTGTGCAGCTGGCCCAGGCCCAGGTCCTGGCCAGGGGTGCCTGTGCGCTGCCCAGTCTGGGATGCGAGTGGGAAACGGGGGTGTCGGGAATGCCTGCCCCCATGCCTGCAGGTGAGGGAGGCTCTGGCTGTGTCGTGCTGTGCTGCTCCGCACCCGGGCAGCTGAGGTGCGGCTCAAGCCCTGCTGGGCCTGCCGTGAACCCGGGGCTGCCTCTGGGGCACCCCTTCTCGGGGCCAGCACGGGCCGGGGTTTGTGGGGCTGCCCCAGATGTGTGAGGCCCCCACGACTCGGGCCTTGACATGGGCGCCCCAGGCTCAGGGTTGGGCTGCCGCGGGCGGGCTGCCAGTGCTGGCCGCCTTTGGGTGGGGCGGAGGCACATCCCAGGCAGCTGCTGCTGGCCGGGCTGTGGCTCCAGCGTGGCCGCAGGCCCTGGGGAGGTGCTGGGGCTGGCCTGGCCTGGCGTCCGCAGGACGCTGAGGGCAGGGCCCGGCAGGGGAGCAGGAGCCCACAGTGGCTCCTTCTGGGAGAGCTTTGCCCCCCCAGACAGACCCATCACCAGTGAAGTCCGTTGTTTATTAACTGTCTTAGGCAGAGCGGGGAGGAGGGGACGGGGGGGGGGGGACTGCGTAGAAAAAATAGCGGCTCCTGGTGTCCCAGCAGGTGCTCTGCCCTGCAGCGGCCCTCGGCCGGCCGGGGCTGGGAGGCAACAGTGGGGCTACTCCACGTCCACGATCAGGGGGGTCATGTAGTCGGAGTGCTTGATGCCGAAGGTGACCACGGGGGCCCAGGGCTTGGTGACCGTCACCTGGGAGGAGAGGCCGTGAGGAGCCAGCCGCCCGGCCGCCTTCCCGTGCAGTCAGGGTGTGACCTCTGGGCCCAGGGTTCTTCCCGCCCCTCTGGGGCGGCGCCCCATGGCGCCCCTCTGAGTCCCCGCCCACCGGACACCCCTGCGCCACGCCGCCTTCTCTGCTGCACCCCCGCCACGTTCTCCAGACCTTCTCAGGGCTGTGGGCGCCCGGCCCCGGCTTGAGCGTCTTGTCCCCCGGGGGCTCCACCCGGGCAGCCATGGTGTACTGCGGCGCCTTGAGCTTGGTCACCTGCACGTCGGTCTGCCGGTAGGCTGCGGGGCCGGGGGTCTGCGGCCAGAAAGGGGC